CTCGGAGCCATGTGGAAGGGCGGGTTCACCCTGGCCAGGGCACTGAGGCCCAGGTCAGCCCCTCGTCTGGGGTCGAAGCTGTCATCCAGAGTGTCGAAGCCGGCTGCCGCCTGCCGTCTGCTGTGGAGCTCTGCGGTGAGTGTGGCGAGGAGGCCCTGGGGCAGGGTACCGGGCACAGATGGGGTTTTATCCTAGTCCTGGCATCGCCTCTGCTTGTGGTCTGGGACAGTCACTTAGAAGGCAGGGCAGATTTGCCTCTTACCGATTAGCCAAAGTATAGCAGCAGCTTCCAGGAGCTGAAGGCAGGGTAGATTTCCACCTTACAGGCTAAGCAGAGTAGAGAGAGACACCGTGTGAGCTTTCATGAATCCAAGTTCACTTCATCAGATGCTGTGAAAGGACGTGCACAAAGCAGAGTACAAGAAGGAGAGAAATGAGCATGCAAAAGACAAGGGAGGGAAAAGGAGGGCAGTGCTGGGAGAAGCAAACAAACCCATAGGAACAAAGGAGCCACAAAAACGAAGCCAGGTGAGATGGGATGAGAGTCTGTCATCCCTGTTTAAACCGTGCTTAGCCCAGTCCAGTCTGTGCCCGGGTCCTTGTTCTGCAGTTTCCTGTCCCAGTTGGTTTTTACAAGGTTGCTGTCTGAGAACAGCTGCCCTCAGCCCAGCAATGGAGCATCCGGGGAAGCTGAAGTGTTCTTCCATGGGCCTGTGCGTCTCTGCAGCTGATGTCAGGGCAGCGTTCATTCTTTCTGTCACGTAGGGATCACCCATGTAGACCACAGAGGGGCACTGAGCAGGTGACAGCATCTGTGACATTGGTGGAGTTGCAGGGGAAGGAGCCTCGGGTGTTGTAATCTGTGATATTTGGTCCAGTGATGATGTTGTCTATTGATGTTGGGTCCGTTGCAATGCCTGGTGCCTCTGTGAGACTGGTGGTTACGTAGCTTGCTGCTTGAGAGAGGCTGTTTGAGGTTGGGGGCTGGTTTGTCCCTGGTGACTACTTTGTGATAGTCATCCTTCTCCAAAAAGGGCTGGAGCTCATCTTTAATGATACGTCCAAGGTGCTCAAGCCAGGGGCTACAGGGACGGGCAGAGGGACTCTATCCTTGTCCAGTTAAATTCAGTGACTTAGACCAAGTCGGGAATAGCCCCTGTCCTGGGCTGACCTTGTTTCTGAGTACCCAACCTGAGACCTCTGTGTGTTTTCAGAGGGGCCAAGTTGCTCTATGGCCCTCAGCTGGAAGCCTTAAATGCTTCTCCTGGCTGAATGTGAGTCAGTCTATACAAGGTGCTACCGTGGCCTGCCTTCTGCAAGACATCCCAGACAGAGCACACAGGAAACAAGGTGCCCCCGGCTGGTGGCACCAAATCCCCTGCTTAACCCTGTCCCCTCTTGCTAAAGCAGATGCAAAGTCTCTTGGAGAAGTGTTTCCTTTTCCTTAATTAAAGACCCTTTCAGTCCAGTGCTTAGCTTGGAAGTATTTCTAGCGGCTAGTCCCAATGCGTTGAGTGATGCTGGGCTGAATTGGGGCGGACACATGGATTTTGGAAGGCTCAAAGAGGACCAGAAGTTCTGACAAGTTCCCCCTCGCCTCCCCTTCAGATCAAGGGTTTGTTGGGGGATGTAATCCTTTAGCTAGTGTTTGTCACCTGGCAACCAGGGCACCAAAGCTGGATCTTGAAAGGCATTTCACTGCCCAGTTCCTTTTTGGATCTGAGCCCAAGAAATGCAACTGGACAGCTTGTAATCTGAGTTGGAAGTGCCTCTCCGTGACAGACCTGTCTGAGAGGAAGCAAACCCAGAGAGTCTAAAGCTGGATTTTGGAACTTGGAAGTTAAAGTATACGAGAGGGGAAACATAATTTGAATGCATGTTCAGAGGGAGAGATCTTTCCACATGAGTTAAAAGCCATGTCCTTGGGGAGGGGGGTGGGTGAAGAAACCCCACGTGTCACTCGCCTGATGATTGTAACGATGGTAATTACTGAGATCGGTGCAGTGAAATCTTCCCCTGGCCATCCGTTTGCTGGAAGGGTGCCCAGAAGGAGCTCAGCTGTTGCATTCACCCTCCCGAAAGGGAATTCAGTGCAGAACAGAATGAAAGGTACTGATATAGCTCTGGATTTGCATGTGGTGGGTGTTTGATCCAACCTCCTGGATGCTTCGGTTCTCCCTTGTGATCCTCCCCTGCCCTTCCTTCACAACCAGGGGCTAGTCTCCATGCCCCCCCATCTCAAGTCCGTGTGCTTTCCCTTACTGCAGACACCCAACCCCTCTGCAACAACGGTGAGAACAAGAGCAGCAGGGAGAGCTTGGAGGAGGGTACAGGCAGCTCTGTGCAGCTGTGTAGGTTGAATGTGACTAGAGCAGAGCTGGCTGCGGTGTTGCTTGGGATGTTGGCATTTTTTGAAGAGGAAAACATCCCCTTCCTGGCAGCTGGGCAAAAAAGGAGCTCTGTGAAGTGGAGCTACTATGATCACTAGGGACAGAAAAGAGCCAGGGTCTTGAAGCCAGAGGCTTGCCCCTTGAGAAGCCATGCTAGGGTCAGCTGTAGGGGGTCCTTTGGGAGGGAGAGCCAACACGGTTTCACTTCTGGGCCTTTTGAGATGCCCAAGATGAGCAGATGCTTGTGGAGTCAGAGAAGTGCTCACTTGTAATGATGCTGCTTCTCATCTGCTTGTTACCAGACCCGGTTCTCCCAGGCCGGGCAGCCAAAGGACTATGCCCTGCCCAATGCCAGCTGGAGCCAGGGCATGCTGAACCTGTACAATGAGTTTGTGGAGAAGAGCAAGGACGGAACGTGGAAAAGGATCCCGTCCTATCGGCACAGCCTGGATCACATCCCAGGCAAGTCTCTGGCCTCTCCCTCCCTTCATTCTGTGTCACCTACTTCCCTGACAGGTGTGGAAACTATTGTGGGCAGTTGTTCAGGAATGTGATGGCAGGGCTTCATTCCCAGAGCAGTTCCACTGGTTAGACTGGTGTCAGCAGTCCTGTATTCAGCAACAGCCTCTGCTCAGACTAGTAAGCCTTTCTGTCTATGTACAACTCAGCCCCCACCCCTAGAGGAGGTACTGTATATACTTGCATACCAAATGCACCTTTTTCCCCCTAGAATCGGCTCTTCAAACTTGGGGTGTGTATCTGAAGCAGAGGGAAACTGATTTTCTTTGCCCCCCACAGCACTACATATCCCCCACACTCTGGTGGGATACAGTTTGCCAAAAACTGGTGCCAGTTTGAGAGCAGCTGTGAAAGGGTTGACACTGGATGGGCCCCCTCCCACATCCTGGCAGGAGCAGAAACTGATTGCCTTCTTGCAGTGCAGTGTCTTTATGGAAAAAGCCAGCTAGGCAGTGATTCTCGGGGAAAAGAATCGTATTTTCTACAGTTTGCCTACCAAGGTGCTTGCCGCCTTTTTGGCGTGTACAGTAGGTGGGGAAATGCGGGGAAATTCATCCCAGCCCTAAGCTATTCAGGTCTGATTTTTTTTTTCCACTTTTGAGCTGGAGTGCCAGAGTCCCTTCTAGCAGCTGAGTCCTAGGTGGTGCATCCCTGGGGAATAAAAAGAACATTCCTATCAATGGGCAAGGACTTCCAGAAGTCCGTTCCTCCTCATCTCTAGCCTAAATGCCTCCTACAACTTTACAGCTATCTCTCCCTGTCCATTGTCCCTCTTCAAGCGCAGCCGCTTTTCCAATGCCAGTGAATGAGCTGGTAACAAGGTGCCGAAAACCAAACTGCCTCCACTTGTCAATCATTGATCCACCCATGCAGATTAGTCTTCATCAGCAGCTAGAGATTCAGCTTTAGTTAAGCAGGAAAGGGAGGGTGAGCAAGCTGAATGTGAGGCTCTGCTTCTGCTCTATGCAGTTGTAACTCTGAAAAGTATTCTGGGAGTTGTCATGGGTGAGAAGATATAGTCACCTTGGACTGATGAAACTTTGGACAGGGATCATTTGCACCCTGGGCCAGGCTCTTGCCCTTCAGCTTGACGTTACCCCTTTTAACCCCTGAGCACGCATTTCCTTTCACCCATCCAGACTCGATGAAGCTGGAAGGTGAGAAGGTGCAGAAGGATACTCGCTTCTTCCTCCGCAACCTGGATGAGGAAGGGCTGGGCTTTGAGTACGTGATGTTCCTCAACCCCTCGGAGAAGAGGATGGTGACCGTGTACCAGCCGGGCCCCTACCTAGAAGGGCATCCAGGGTAAGGATCTCTCCTCCCTGCTCCTGGGCTGAGCAGAATGGCCCACTGTCCTGCCTCTAGAGCTGGTTGTCTGCCCTCTGTTCAAATTGCCAACCCCACTTCCAGGTTCACTCATGGAGGCTCCACAGCTGCCATGATTGACAGCACCGTCGGAGGCTGCGCCATCTTTGTTGCTGGGAGGGTGATGACAGCCAACCTCAGCATCGACTTCAAGAAGTGAGTGACTGGCGGTTCCCTTACAGCTGACTGAGGCAGACATTGCTGTTGCTCTTGGATTGTCCTTTTTGTCTGGGGAGAGCCTGGGATGGTTCTGTCTTTGGGAATAATGTGCCCCTCCGTTGGGGACATTGGAGCCTTTACAAGGGAGTGGGGGGTGTCTGGAGCATGGAGCTGGCATTCACATGACCAGGGTTCAGTCCCTGCTCCTGCCACTGCTTTCTTCTGCCAGGGGAGGCTATCCTGTAGCTAGTTGCATGGGCAACCTCTGTGTGTGGCATGGAGCAGACTGCAGGGGAGGCAGGCAATACAATGACAGATGGGGCAGGGAGCAGAAAGCAGGGCAGAAGATTAAGTGGGGAGCGCACAGGGCAGGGAGCAGAAAGCAAAGCGGTGGATCAGGTGGGGAGAATGCAGTACAGGGAGCAGAAAGCAGAGTAGCAGGTCAGGTACGGGAAAAGGGTTCTGCAAACTGTTTGGTCTGTGCACCCCAGCTGTGAAAGTGGGGTGCTGCCTAGGAGAACAGGTGGGCAATAGGGGCAGGTCATGGCTGGGGCATTTCCTTGGAAAGTTCCTTGGTGGAGGGGACTGGGGCGGTGGGGTGTCTTAGATCTATACTGCGACCTGAATTGTCCAGGCTGTTCTCAAGCTGGAGCTCAGTGTAATTGAGTGCCATGCTCCCACCACCCCTCCAGACAGCTCTGCTTTGCATTCACAGCCTGTGAAATACAACCGCTTCTGGGGTGGAACAGGCAGGTGTTGAACAGCTGGTGCTGGGCAGGGAGGAGCCAGGTCCTGATTAACACCTGCCCATTCTCTCCCCGCAGCCCTGTTCCCCTGGGCTCGGTGGTGCTGGTGGACAGCAAGGTGGACAGAACGGAGGGGCGGAAGGTGTTCCTGTCCTGTCAGGTCCGGAGCGCTGATGGCCAGACCCTCCATGCTGAGGCTACAGGTAAGGACTGGGGGGACAGAGGGAAACTGAGTCACAGGGTGTCTGATGCCTGGAGAGAGCCCAACCAGATGCCCAGAGGCGACTGCCGGCTCTGGCCAGTTTTTCTCAGAGACCCAGTTCTTCCTCCATCATTGCCTTCCAAGCCAGGCTCCCCTGTGCCCGGTCTTCCCCTGGGGTGGGCTCCTAGCTGGGCTACGAGGAAGGCTGGGCCTGGTGCTCACTGCTCCCAGAGCCCCATCCCCTGCCCTTTGCCCCAACACTTTCAGGCCACATGTCGAGACCTGTTGAGCTTCCCTGACTCCAGCAGATTTCAGGGTACCTAAATCTCTCTAACTGTCCTGTCCCGGCAGCTACCATCACACTTGCAGATGTCTGGGACCAGCCAGCACAGGGTGAAAACCCTGCTCTACCCATACAGCCTGCTGACCCCAGGTCTCATCATTCCCCTGTCAGCAGGTCCCACTAGGGCTGGGTGCTTGGCACCATATGCTGTCCTATCACCTCCCTAAACCAAGCCTGAGCCAGTGGCAGCAGCAGGAAAGTTCCAGGACTTGTCTTTGCTGCAAAGGTGCCCCCCAGCCCGTCTCTGCTTCCCAGGGCTGTGTTCCATGTAGAGGCTTCCACCCTGCTTTCCCCCTCTGTCTTTCAGCACTCTTTATCCAGCTGGCTTCCCTGACCCGGAGGTGAACTCCTAGCAAGCCTGTCGGATGAAGCTGCCTGTGGCTGTGCCCCTTTAGTCCCACCTTCCCTCCCCCCATCCTCCCCAGCTCCACAGCTTTCCCTGGACGTGAGTGACGGGGCCTGACCCCTCAGAAGTGACCTCCGTGGACTCATAGCCACTGCATCGTGGCCTCCTGGGTGCAGCTCTCCTGGTAAAAATCCAATTAACCTTGGAACAGGAAGGACCCGCAGCCTGACGTATAAGGCACGGCATTGCGCCCAGGGTGACTCTGGGTGTTTTTGTCCAGAGAAGAGGAACTGGAGCTAGTTCTGTTCAATTACATGCTAGTTTATTAGGATATTAGCAATTGAGCAAGAATGATCAGTAGCAGCTACACATGGCAGGGGATACACAGCTATACTTGCTGCTAGGGACTGGGTTCTTGCGTCTCCCGGCACCTGTCCTCACAGGTAAGGCAAAATTCCAGCCTTCGCACGCAGGTTTCTGCATTGTGGAGTGTTATACAGCTCCAATGCACGTTCTGTGCTTCTGCCGAGCCCTCGAAGCTCGTGATCTCGGCCAGTTCGGCAGGGAGCAAAACTCTTGACTCATGCTGCATGACTGTTGTTCCTACGCGGAGTCTGTGTGTTTGGTGCAATCATCAGCCTGCTAGTCTCTACTCACTTGAAACTACCCCCTACAGATGTGCTATCTCATTCTAGTTGTGATCAGGACAGAATCGTTTTTAGAATCGGTTTCTCTGCGTGGTGGAATGTAGTGACACACCCAGTGCCAAGGGGAATCCTTGTATCCCGAACCCCAACAGCTGTCGCTGCCTGTCAGAGGGCACATCCGTGGCCTGAAGAAGCCGTGAGCTCTGCATAGCTTCAAATGCTGGCGTCCAAGAACCAGCACCATTGCCCCCTTCACTGCCCGTTCTCAGCTGCTCTAGCATCTTGCTAGGGATCTTGCCTCTGAGCTCTACGCCTCTTCCATGGGACCTTTTAGATATTGGGTCACCTTCTCTGGTTCTTCCAAAATGAAATCAAACCAGTATTTTGGCCTGTAGGTCTGGACCTCTTCAGCGTGGAAGAGGGACGGTCCCTGTTCCTTTTAAAATAAGCCATGTTTAGCCCTGGTGCTGATCTGCAAGCATTACATGAGCCAGAGGAGAAACCAGGCTCTGTAGCGGTAAGCCAGGAACAGCGGCTTCAGGGGATGGAGTTTTGGAGCTGGTCAAAAACTTCCCCATTTAAATTGTTTTCGGACAAACTCTTTCACTGTTGTCCTCCCCCCCCGTTGCCCCCTCCAGCTTTCCCCAAAAATGTTCCGAGTCGGCCAGAACCGCTGAGGAAAGATGAACGTGATTCTACTGTACTATACTGAACCGTGTTGCAGTGCATTGTGGGACACATCAGGAGCTTCATGCTCCTGTTTCTGCCATGCTGCATCTCCCATGGTGCATTGTGGCTGCCACAATGCACTGTGGGAGATGGAGTCTGGCTCATAAAGGAGCTGGGTGCCCTGCCGGTTCTGAGCAAACACCCCAGGCATCAGCTTTCCAGGTCCAGCACGTGGAGGTCCTGATTCTGCCTGTGTGGGCTGCGATCACAGCTCAGTTGCTGGCACCAGGCTCCAGGGAGACATAAACTTGGCTTCTTCTGTTCCCCTGCTGTGAACTCGGCGTGCCAAGCTGCCTGCATTTTCCTATCCCTTGGGAGTAAGTTGTCATGGGATGGAGGGGAAACTACAGAACCAGGAGACTCAGGACTTGGGGACTCTCCTCTACACGCTGCTGCTATTGATGTGATCTTGGGCAAGTCACGTAACACCTATTTGCCTGAGCTTCCCCAGTTGTAGTGTAGCAGAGGGTGATGGAGCTCCTCAAGCCTGGGAGCCTGCTTTGCAAATGAATCTGTTGTCTCTCCTCGGGGCCATGTCTTTGTAGCAAAACCTCCCTTGCATGTGAGATAGTGAGTGATGGTGAATCTAAAAGGTCCCTGCTTCAGCTTCTGTCAGACACTATGGCTTTCTGGGGGATGAGCAGATGGCTGCACGCAGCTGTCTGCACCTGGGGACAGCCTGGCTTCCCCCAACTTGGATGTCTCAGCAGAACCCACCACAGTCTGTCGTATCTGCTGTGCAGAGGACCCCAACTCCAGCTCTGGAGAGCCCCAAGCCAGCCAGGCACTCGAAGCAAGGTCCAAGAGCCTGTACAGAGCTGAACTGCCTGAGGACTGTGTTCCCCTGCCCCAGCCCCTTCCTGGGATCTGGACCCCTGCAACACTGGCCTTCCCCAGGCGAGCTAAGGGTACAGCTGGCAGAGGAGAGTCATACACCGACTATTGGCTTTGTAGCTGACTCAGTCCTTTTGCTAAAGGAGCGAAAACAAAACAGGCTTTTGCCAAAGGCCAGCTACAGCTAATCTGCAGTGGGAGATCATCTGCTCCTAGCCCAGGCACCCAGAGCAGGAAGCCATGTGTTGGCAAGACCTGTTTCACCCATGGTGCTGGAGTGCTTTTTGCGTGGGCTGTGCCAAGTGTGTCCTGCCTTGCACCGGATTCTTTTGCCTGCAGTATTGCCCTGACTATGTCATTCTCTTACATCCCTTTCACTGCAGCACCCAGGCTGCCGTCTCTGCCCCTGTAAGCAAGAGGCATCAGTCTGCCCCATGCATGGGGTGTGAGGTTATGCACTGATGGAGCTACATAATATGAAATAAAGTGCTGATGTGTCCTGTCACCATGTGCAAATCTGAATCCAAAACCAGGCACCTACTATCGCTTCGTCTAGCCTTAACAAGGCACTTTGGCACATGGGCACTGGGTCTTGCCTACTCCTTTAGTGAGCTAGCAGCCTGCAAGGCTGCTTGCAGGTGGCACGGGGGGCTAAGGAGAGATGCATTTGACTGGAAGGGGGCTTAGGCAGGAGCTATATAAGCCCAGAGCCTGAGCTGGTCAGGCAGCCTCTCCCTGGCAGCCACGGAGTGAGGAGCTCTCGGAAGCAGGGCTCCTGAAAGGACTGTAGCTTATAAAAGCAACTCTGCAGGCCTGGGATCAGAGGCAAGCCCCCTGGGCAGAAAAGAACTGAGTTTTTGCAGACAAGTGGCCTTTGTTTTATTTTGAAACCGTAGAGGGTCCTGGTGCCCAGGGAAGGGCTAAGCTGCTCCAGAAGCTCCCTGAGCCTGGAGAAGGGGCGATGCATAGGACCGGGTGTCTGGGAGCCCGGAGGAGGGGTGGCATGCAGGACCAGGGGTCCAGGAGCCTGGAGAAGGGTAGGTATGCAGGGCCAGGGGTCTGGGAGTCTAGGAAAGGGCTGTGTTAAGGGACAAGGAGGGGTCCAAAGGCCCAAGGGTGCCGAGTACATAACTAGGCAGCATCACAGAGAGAGAGTACCCGTGAGGCTTGGGGCATAGTGCAGGGAAGGTAAGGAGCCACGCAGAGCCCTGAAGGCAACAGGTACCCTCAGGAGTACAGACAGGCTGAAAGGGCTGCCAGCTTGGGGCGCAGGACTAACCAAGGGGACCTGGGAGAGGCCCAGCAGGGATCGGCTCAGGCTCACACAGAGCCCACAGGCAGCCTCTCTTTTATAACCCTCATGAAGAGCAAGGTGCGGTGGGTGAGATTCAAGGGAAGGGCTGCAGCAGAGCCTGAGCCAGGCAGGGGCCACATGGCCGCCACCATAGCCACGGACCCGCTGCAGTCCCTCGTGCATGGGCAGTACCATAGGCCTCCGCACTCGATGCTGGATGGCCCAGACCGGACCCGCTCATGGACCCAGAGGGATGCCAGAGCTACCCCTGCCCCACTGGGTGCTCGGTGCTATGCAACACATCATGAGGTACCCTCCCATGAATCATCCTTGCTGCCCTTCTCGGGACCCTCTCTAGCTCTTCTAGATCCTTTCTGAGATGGGGAGACCAGACCTGGGAGCAGCCTTCAAGGTGTGGATGCACGATGGATTTGTAAAGTGGCATCACAATGTTTTCTGTCTTGTTCACAGAAGAGCTGCTATTAACTGGCTCAGTTTCCAGTATTACACAGTGTCAGAGAGCAGAGGCTGGAAGGAAGAGTGACCTGGGGCTGACCAGGGTTTTTTTCCCCTGTCCCTCTCTCCCTTGCAGCCTCCAGCATTCAAGGTCTAGGAAGTTGTGATTCAGAGGCCATGCCCAGAGGCTTGTGCCTTCAGGAGGTGTTGGGCTGTTCAGATATTCATCCAGCTCTCTCCTGGCTCATCTCTGGCTGTGACGGCTGCGTTTTGCTTTGTGTGGCCGTGGCGTTTCATCCAGTGGCTGCCTTGGAGACAGGAAACTTCTGCAGTAGGAGTTTTTGTGGCCATGTCTTGTCCAACCACCCAGGCACCTTGTGTTTTGCTTGTTGCTGCTCTCCTGATGCTTGGTGGGGTGAGTCCCATGGGTATTGGCTCCATCAAAGTTTGGTGCTACAGTGAAACGCTTGGCCCTGGGTCCTCCAGATGGACAGAGCAGCAGGGACCTGTAGGAGGGCAAAACCTGAAAGCGGCCAGGCCGGTTCTGTGGTTGAAGCTAAAACCATGGTGCCAGAGCTGGAGGGCTTCATAGGGGTGTAGAGGAAACAAGAACTATACAGGGGCAGATGACTGGGTTCCCTGTGCTGCTCTAGCTACACAGGGCTAAGCAGTAGCCAGCTGAGGTCACCTGATCTGTTCCACCCCAAGCCCCCTTTTTTCTTTTTTCCATGGGATGAATTGGGCAGTTGGATACCAAACCTGGGTGGGGGAGGAATTTCCCCAGGCCACAAGGTCCCAATTTCCCAAGCACCTTCAGGCTCTTAGCAATGCCCGAGGTCTCCACCGTCAAGCAGGGGTTGGGCCTTTCAGGAAGAGGCCACGGCTTGATTTGAGCAGATCTGGGAGACATGGGCATCCACAGAGACCCGTGCCCTTCTCTTGAACCAGACAACGTAGCCCGGAAGTCTCTAGAAGTCAAAGTAGCCCGGAGCCTCTAGATCTGAGCTGCTCTCACTCTGGGGGGCCCTGCCTGGCCCACAGTGCCTTTTACAGCAGCCCCGTGGCTGTTGTAGCTCACACTGTTGTTTCCTGTGAACTTAAGGGAGCCAAAGCAAAGCCCCGATCTCTGCACCCTGGCCATAGCCTGGGAGCTCTGTGCCCCCTCTTTGCAAGTGGGGGGGGGGGGGGGGGGGCTCAGGGTGGGACAGAGACAGAGGCTGGGAGCCAGGAAGTCCTGACTTCAAGTCCCACTTCACCCCGGCCTGAGGGGGAGTCCGAGTGCCATTCAGAAAAGGGGGATGCTGATAGCTTGGCTAACTGGTGTCTAATGAGTTTGGGGGTGGTCTCAGGACAGAGGTGCTGGACTGACATAAGAAGGTGACACCCCAGGCAAGGTGCCCGCACTCCTGGGTTTCATCCCTGGCTCAGTGGAGTGGGGAGTGCAACTAGATAAGCAGTCGACAAATGGAGGTTTCTCCTTCTGACTCCTGTATCACCCCCTCCTCCGTGCCTCAGTTTTCCTGGCTGCCACTCGTGCTGGGGTAGGACATTGGGGGTCAGATGCAGGGGCTCGGGGACCGCTGGGTTGAACAGGGACCTGTCTGTGCACCGGGGGGAGCTCCCTTGCCCCCACCCCAATGTCTATGCCAGCAGGAAAGGGTGATACTGGGGCTCCAACCTTAACCTGGTTTGCAGGCAGAGCTCAAGGCGGGGCTGCGAGCAGGGTGCGACCATCTCAGTGCCCAGCAGAGGGCAGTGGCAGGACACGGATCAGCCCTGCAGCCACCCCTAGGCCCTGCTGCCTCCTTCCCCACCACCCAGATGCCTGGGTCCCTTTCCCCACAGCAGCATGGCTAGAGCAGCTGGGAGCCTGGACGCCCGGGCCAGGACCGGGGGTCAGCAGGTGTTTCAGAGTTGGGGCTCTGGGCTTTGCCTTGGGCAGGCAGGAGGGGTCCAGTGACCAAGAGCCCTGCCATGGAAGCAGGACTCCTGGTTTCTCCTCCCCGCTCTGTGCCTCAGTTTTCCCTGTGGGGCTGAATTTGCCAGGGAAAGGAGGAACCCCCTGGCACTGCCTGGACCAGGCTGAGTCAGGGTCTCCACTTCCAGCGCTGCACGGCCCAGGCTGAGACTGGGGCCTCGGCTGTAAGAGGCCTTGACTCCCTGCCTGCCTCCCCTGCACACGCTTGTACACACCCCCGCCACACGCACCGTCACACATACAGGGTGGTAGCGCTCGTGAGCTTTGCAGCTCTCCCTGGAAGCACTGGGCTCAGCTGAAAGGGTGCCATTGGGATCACTGGGTTGCATCCAGCTGTGCACAGCTGGGCCATGTGTGCCACCTCTGGGCACAGCAGTGGACTGCCCCCCAGCCGGGAGCCAAGCCCTGCATCCCCCATCCCCTCCCCAGCTGCTCCCGTGCCCTGGTGACCTCCCGGTACCCCTCAGCAGGGGAGAGGCAGGCTGTGGTTTCCTGGGGCAGGGTCGCGTGCCAGGAGGGGCGGGTGAGCGTGAGAAGGGTCCCGGCTGGTTCCTGTAACCTGCTGCGTGGGCAGAGTTCTCAGCAGGGTTCGTGTGA